GGATCACTGCAAAACCACGAAGGAACACGGAGCCCCTCCCAAACGAAAAAGGGCTCCTTCTTCAGCACCCCGACGGTATCACGCAGCCTCGTCTCCACCTGGCGAGGAGCGCGTCGTGGCCGAGACGAGGCGCCCGAGGAGCTGCCCGAGCGTGGCCGAGGCCGGCACCCGAGGTGCTCTCCGGCCGCGCCCGAGGGTGGCCGAGATGTCTGGCTCGAGAGCAGGGCGCCTTTCAGTCTCGGTCGCAAGCTCGGGCAGAGGGGGGAGGAGGAGGAGAGGCAGGAGGAGGAGCAGGAGGAGGAGGAGGAGGAGGAGGGAGGAGCAGGAGGAGGGGGGAGAAGGAGGAGGAGGCGGAGGCGGAGGAGGAGGAGGAGGAGGAGGAGGAGGCGGAGGCGGAGGCGGAGGAGGAGGAGGGGAAGGCGCCTTTCAGTTTCGGTCGCAAGTTCGGTCACATCACGTTGCCCGTCACACGTTTGCGGTCACCGACGCTCCTCGGTCCACTGCTTCTTCGGCAGATGGGGAACGGGCGCCATGGGTAATATAGTTTGGAAAACCATGCGTGGCCTGCTCTGGAACAGGAGAATACCATAGACTGCACGCAACGTCCGCGTTGTCTGTAGACGCATCCGCCCCGAATGCGTTTATAGACGCAACGGGACCCAGCGTGTCCGTACACAAGTGTGGCTAAAACGTGAGAGTTGTGTTTAGCCTTGGCCCGAGATACTGGTGTTCTAGAAGCAGGTCCACTGGGCCGGGCCCTCCAAAGTATGATTTTGAGGCGCCTCAAACCCGTTAGTGGGCCAAGTTTCCTGGAGCCACCGCCCTAATAGGCACGGTGGCCCGATGGTGCGACTGGCCTGGGACCGTGGTCCAGACCGCACCGAAGAGGAGGAGGAGGCGGAGGAGGAGAAGGACGCCTCGATGAGAGGGCCGCCCAGCCTCTGGAGCTGCTTGAGGCAGCCGCCGACGGGGAAAGGAAGAGGAGACGAAGATCAAAGCGTCAGGATTGAAAGAATAGCTTTCTTTCACGGAATAGCACGGTGAGATGTAAAGTGTACAGCACGGGCACGCAGTCTGGCCAGACTGCTTGCCCCCGAGCGAGAATGGCAATGGAAGAAGGGAAGCAATTCGGACCTCGGGGAGGGACAAATGAACATGCTGTCAAAAGGCAGAGAGGCAGGTCTACCGTTTGAGTCTGGTGCTCAACCGGAAATGTTTTACCTCGCGGGTTTAGGCATGCACGCCACGCCCAAACCAGCGAAGCAAGAGCAAGCTAGCAGTGCGATGAGAAAATTTTCTACGAACCAGGTTCCTCATCAAAAATTGCGCTGGTGAGGGGGGCTGGGCATTGAGGACCCTCTTCTGACCAGGTCTCTCATTCAAATTTGCCTGGCGAGAATATTCGGATGGAGAACGCGATAATTCACTAGCATGCTGGGTGGTATAGCGGATATGGTTTGCCTCGCCGGTTTAGGAATGCAAACCACCCCCACCACGACCCCCCCAATGCAAGGAGTGGAGGAGGAAGTGAGGAAGTGAGAGAAGAGGGGCTCGCGGAAAATGCGCACGCGCGCGCGATCTCAGTGTGAAGGCCTCGAGCGCGCGCCTTCGACCCCCTGTGACACCACAATGCCCCGTTCTCTCCCCATCCCCCTCCCCCTCCCCCTCCCCCTCCCTCTCCCCCTCCTCCTCCTCCTCCTCCTCCTCCTCCTCCTCCTCCTCCTCCTCCTCCTCCTCCTCCTCCAGCTGCCGTGACAGCCCGAGGCAGCCTTTCTGGCAACGCCCATGCGGTCCACGAGGGGACCCGACTGGCCACACACCCAGCTCCCGCGCCAGGAGCCCCCACGGCCTGCTGGCCGATGGCCCTCCGCGTGATAGGTTTCAACCCATTACGTTTCTCTGGATCGCGCGCTGATGACATTGTTCTTGCTTGCCCCGATATGGACTCCATTCTTCTTGCAGGGACCCAGGCGACCCACAGAAAAAGTGTGAGCAGATTCTCAGTCGTCGAGTTCACGGTCGTTTGATCCTCGAGGCGGAGGTCGCTGACGGTCCCTACACGAATACATCTGCTGGCTGCGCCATTATACTACATCGTTCTTTCACGGATGCCCACGTTCGCCGCATGTGGGCCAGTCCTGAGGGCGCCTACGGCCGTGCTGTGGCCGTGCGGATTCAGCGTGGCCCGCTGGATGTAACTGCAATCGTCATCTATTTCCCGACGCAGCCGAAGCGCACGGCCGAGATCCCTCATTACATTGCGACAGTCAAGATACTCATCGAATGGTATGATCACGTGCTCTCCGAGCTCCCCTACAACAGCACCCCGATCCTGTACACCGATCTGAATGACGGACTTGGGCTCAGCAGAGGCTCAGGTAAATGGTCGGCGGTGGAAACGCTAGCTGTTGGAGCCGGCAGAAGTAAAGAACATCGACGGAATGGTGCGGGAGAACGCCTTCGCCATGCGAATGAACAACACCATATGCTTGCAATGAACACGAGAAGTCCTGATCTTCAATCCACTTTCTTTGGGAATGCGGGCGGCCAGAGTTGCATTGATTTCATATGTGCGCCACTGGGTATGACAGATTTTGTGACGGCATGCCACCCACTCTATCGATTGGGAGCTTCCCTCCAAGCTTACCGAGGTCGACCACCACGTGACCACATCCCCGTTTACATGGAAATAAGCTGCATCAAAGATTTTACTCCGCGAATTCAGACTGGGAGACTCCGCTGGAACATGGATGCCATGATGGAAGCTGCACGCAAAGGATCGCTTCGACCCGAATTTTTGACAGCTGTTACCTCCCGTTTGCAGGAGGAAGAGGACACGTGGCGTGAATTGCTCACGCGGGGACGCCCCGACGAGACTTTCAATTTCATTCAGGATACTCTCATCACCGCGGGGCAACAGTTCTTCGAGGCCAAGATCACGAACGACACCGCCTACCAGCAGGCCAAGGAAGAACGCGAACAGCTACTCAAGCGACGGGCTGAACTCCGACTTCAGCGTGCAGAGGCAGATGAGGAGACTCTCGTGGCGTGTGAGACCCAGCTCAAGGAGATCTCGCAACAGCTCAAGCTCCAGCGACAGCGCCTCCAACGGCAACGACGAGAAGCTTTACTCACCGAGATAGACGAGGCCTGGGAACGTCGACAACTTGCTGAAGGTATGCGACTCACTCGACTTGCTGGAGCCTGTCGCTACGGTGCCAAGAAACGGGATGGACGACTGATACGTGGCAGTGCTTTTACGAAGGAGGAGCTCACGAACTACTGGAAGAAGCCAGGCTGCGAAGGAGGCATGAGTGCGACCCCGACCACAGTCCAGAGCCTTCTCGACGAATTTCCTGACCCTGGCCCCTGCTACATCAACGTTGAAGACTGTGCTCTTGCCCAGGATGACCTCTGGCGAGTAAAAAATACTTCAGACGGACGAAAAGGCGTCGGGCTGCACCACCTGGGACACCTCCCACAGAACTCTGGCTGATATGTTTGCAGCCCCTGCTGAATATTAAGGCCGAGGGTTATGGGCTTGGGTGGGATCATAGCTTGCCTGACATGCAGCAGTTTCAATCATTGTTGGAGGCTGCCTTTTGCCAGATACGCTCCACGAACAGAACTCCGATCCAGTGGCACCACAGCTACGGGGCCCAATTACGGAAGAGCGCCGCCCCAGGACCGAAGGGAAGACGCACCGTCCACGCGATGGACGCCATGGGCAAGGCTTACTACCACGACATGTAATACATCCCGCATGAACTTTTTGAACACGGCTTCGTCAAAGGAAAGCGCAGAGAAGATGCAATATTTGTCAATCAGATCACTGGTTGGAGACTTCGACAGGCAGGACATTGCTTCGCCATTAGTTACAAGGACTTTAGCAACGCGTTCGCCTGTGGCAAGTGGGACGAGCTCGAGCAGACTGTCCACATGCACGCGAAGCCCGAGAACATCGACTTGTGCACCCAGCGATTTAAGATGAGCACGATCACCCTTGAAACCGTGGAGGGCCATGTGACTCTGAAGACAGGCGAAGGCGGTTTGATGGGGGATCCATATGTTGTTCAGTTATTTAGGGGCACTTTCTCACGACCACTGACTAAATGGAAGTATTCGCCCCAACATTGGGATGCCCTCGCTAACCAGTTGACGGCCAGGTGGCGAGACGTGAGGACACACGTGGGAGGCTGCACTTACGCAGATGACGTATTTCAAATGCATTTGGTTCCTGTACCCATCTCGATCAAAGATTTTTTCGACACCATGAAGGACATCGATGATTCTCTCGACCGCGCTCTCATGGAGGTGGGATATGCTAGAAATCCGACGAAGCAGGAACTCCAGATGTACTTCCACGGACCAGGGGCCGCTACTTGCAAAAGCTGGGCTCGCTCACACCCAGAATTTCTTCCAGGACTCTTCAAAGACGCCGTGCGATATCTGGGACCGATGCTTCATGCCAATCAATCCGTCGAGATGGAGGTGAACCGCAGGTGTGCCGCTTGCGCAGATTCTTTTTATTCACTCGGTCGTGTATGGTCTCTTTCATTGCCGCATCGTTGGCTTCGCACTCTCTTCCTGAGCTACGTCCAGAACACAGCCCTCTCGGGCATCGAGCCGCTCCCCCTCACCCCCAGCCACTACCGAAAGCTTGACGGACAGATCGCTAGATTCGGACGACGGGCCATGCAAGGCCGAGCGACACGGACGGACGGAGACCACATGAAAACGATGACGACGAAACAGATCTTAGCCCGCTGGAGGATCCCCGAGTCGGACGTCGAAATGACGATTCGTAGGTTGAACGGGTACGTGGGCTGGGCCAGGGACCCCCAGAAGCACTCCCAGGAGCTCTGCCTGCTGTTCGGGTCCTTAGAGGTTACTGGAGATCGGGGTGGACATCTTCATGGGGACGTTCTTGGACCAGAGGCTTCTCCGTGGCTCCGTAGGTTCCAGAAGGACTTCCTGAGGGCCGCTGAGGACCTGGATTCGGGCGGGGACGTCTGCGAGTTCGTGAGTCAGAACCCTGGGAGGCTGTTAGACCAGGACGTAGTGACGGAGCTTCTCCAGCTCGATTTCACAGAGATTCGTGCCCGTTGTCTCTCGCATGCAGTACCACCGCCTCACATGCAGACGGTGTGCGCTGACCCAGTCGAGCCTCCACAAAACGAGGCGCCTTCGCAGTGGCAGTGTGATTGGCAGCTTGACACGGAGACAGGCAAAAAGATTTGCGGGTGCGAGTTCCGAACCAGACGAGATTTGCTTAACCATATGAGGAGGATCCACTTCGTTAGAAACCTCAGCTCGGTGTTGACCCCGACGAACTCCTGCATCGTGTGTCGTCGAGTCTTTGGGTGTCAAGGTAACGCTTATAAACATCTCCAGCGAGCAATACTCCAGGGTCACTGTCCCGCTCGAGGTACGACGACGCTCCTCCCCGAGACACCCGTGAAGTCCCTCAAGTGCGTCCTGTGTGAGTATCATGCAGCCGACACTGGGGATCTCTGTTGTCATCTCCGTAGCCATCTTCCTCGAGAAGTGCGGCCATCCCTTCATCCCGATAGTGAACCGATCGACAGAGATGGAACTAGAGACGCCAGATTGGCTTCAGGTGCCCCAACGTGCTGGGGGAGAAGTCAGCCGAGCTCGTTTGGCCAAGGACGTCAAAGGCAAGCTACAAGCCGGCAAAGGAGACCAGGAGATCATCGGGCAGCTCGTACTCATCATCGCTCGCTTAGTGCTGGCGGACAGCAGGGCCATCGCAGAGTTGACGGCCACCGTCTACACCACCTACGCGCTCGACTTCGTAGAGGACGGAGTTACGGACCAGATGGAGGACGCGGGCAAGCGCTACCAGGAGATTTCGAGCGAACTAGCCGAGAAAAAGAAGAAGGGCGAGGTGGTGGACTTCAAAAGTCGCGGGCCTCCTCATCTCCACATCTTCATGATCGCCCTAATTTTTCTAGCAAAGCAGGAGACGGAATGGGGCAAGGCGCTTCGCGAGATCTACGAGAAATCTCGCAAGGGTCTCAAGATGCTGGAGGTGGGAGAGGTCGTCCTCCACTGGCAGTGGAAGCGGAACAATAAAGAGGGATCGGGTCAGGAGAACAAAGGACGCCTCATCATCGCAATCGATTCGGATCACGAAGTCGGTCGCCAGCTCATTCCCGCCGTGCGCACAGCCATCCTGAGTATCGGGGGAGAGCGCCTGATCGGTCCTGCACCCAGAGGCCCACTCGAGAGAGACGCGAGCAAACTTCTGGGACAGTTGCGGAAAGCCTGAGAATGAGACGGAGTGATTTGAGGCCCGAGCTTGCCAGTTTACAGTCTAGCCAGCGCCTTAGAGAGTTAATTGCATTCGGTCGAGTGCCAGCGGATATTCTGTGCAGACACGAGCCTGTCGAGAATGAGAATGTGCTCCCAATCCCCACGGCCTACGGCCCCAACCTCCCGCCGATCCCCACGGTACAGCTTCGCCCGTCGGTGAGGGGTCGAGGTAAAGGAAGGAAGGGAGGCCAGTCACGTGGAGGAAGGAGCAGTTTTCCGTAATAGTGGTCCCACTTGCAACGCAGGTGAAGTGACCACGAAGCGTTCCGTGTTTCTCTCCCTGTGGCCCCACAGTCGCCACCAAATTTTGCGTGACTCTAAAAATTTTTAGAGTCACGCATTTTTTTTGATCATTTGGTGACCAGTGCACTCTCTGGCCACGGGGATCGAATGCAATTCATCGGTCCCCAGGGGGCGCCTCTAGGCTGCGTGCCATATCGGGGGTTGCCCCTAATGGGGCAGTGCGGCTCCGCCCGAGCGCAGAGGCCGTAGAGAGGAAGGCGGCCCGAAGGGTACGCCACTCAGAGTTCTTTCGCGAGGCCAGGTTTCAATCCAGTTGAGCCGCGAGTAACCCCGCAACCGACCGAACTCCAGGAGTCCAGTCCAGTCCAGTCCAGTCCAGTCCAGTCCAGTCCAGTCCAGTCCTCCTCCTCCTCCTCCTCCTCCTCCTCCTCCTCCTCCTCCTCCTCCTCCTCCTCCTCCTCATCATCATCATCATCATCATCATCATCATCATCATCAGCAGCAGCAGCAGCATCATCATCATCATCATCATCATCATCATCATCATCATCATCATGCGGGACCTTCGACGTCCCTCCTCTGGAATATCCCTGGAATATCCTCCTCCTCATCATCATCAGCATCATCATCATCATCTGCAGCAGCAGCATCAGCATCAGCATCAGCATCATCATCATCATCAGCAGCATCATCATCAGCATCGAAATCATCATCAGCATCATCATCATCAGCATCAGCATCGGAATCATCATCATCATCATCACCACCACCACCACCACCACCACCATCATCATCATCAGAATCATCATCTTTATCATCATCTTTATCATCATCATCCCCATCCTCATCCTCATCCTCCGCCTCCTCCTCCTCCTCCTCCTCCTCCTCCTTCTCCTCCTCCTCCTCCTCCTCCTCCTGTCGCGACGACGACGACGACGGTCAGGCGCGAGGCAGCTGAAGCCTTGTCGAGATCCTTGTACTTGGCCTCCTTCGCAGGGTTGAACTCGCTGTCCGCGTCAATGGGCGGCCTCGGGCCGCCTCACCGGCCGGGCCTCCCACCGTCTGAGCTCCGAGAGGGGCTCTGCTCGGCTCCCCTCGTGGAGACACGGCGCAGCGAGGGCGCGACAACGACGTTCTCCGAGGAGCGAGGAGCGGAGTTAGGGGAACAAAAAGTGACATAAATATAAAAACTCGGAGGTCCGCGCGGATTTCTCGGATCGGCGCTGGGGCCCTCGGGCGGCGCCTCCAGCGCCGCCCCTGGCGCGCTCCGCGCGCCCAGGGAGGGGGGTCCAGCGCCGATCCGAGAAACCCGCGCGGACCTCCGCGTTTGTATGTTTATGCCACTTTTTGTTCCCCTAGGAGTGGACGCAGGTGCCCTTCCCCACGGCCCGCCAGGCAGATGCCTTCCCCGACCACTGCGTCGCCAATGGCCAGGGAGGGCTCGGGGGGGGGGAGCCTGCTGCTCTCCGAGGAGCACGGGGTCACCCAGGGCGAGGCGGAGGGCGGGCGAGGCGGAAGGCGGGCGAGGGACCGAGGGTCGAAGGGTCGAAGGGTCGAGGCTCGAGGCTTTTGATCGTGTGGGAGCGTGCCGCGGCCTCCAGGAGGCTCCTCGTGGCCACGGCCGGGTCCGCCCCAAGTTCTGGCGCCAGAGCGCCGCCCGAGTCCCCTCGGAGGTTCGCCGCCAGGCCTCCGAGGCCTCCGAGGCATCTGCCCGGCAAACCGCGGCGCACTTCTGAGAAATCTCGGCCCCCGGAAGAACTGTTCGGGCCCGGGGACGATTAAGAACGGATCCGAGATTACCATCAAGAAGGATGACACCGGGACTGGGGCCCGTTGGGACCGGGACTGGGACACTTGCGCTTCCTCGGCTCCCACCTTCGCCTCAGCCAAGGCGTCGTCAAGAAATGGGACCCGCCGCCAAAATCTACGCGCCCTGTTCCATGCTTGCGCTTCCTCGGTCCTCGCCATCGCCACCGCCACGACTTCGCACAAAAACGGGACCCGTCGCTAAAATCCTTTAAGTCTACGCACCCTGAGCCATGCTCGCGCTTCCTCGGTTATCACCTTCGCCACCGCCACGACTCGGTACGGAAACGGGTCCCGTCGCTAAAATCTACGCGCCCTGATCCTTGCTCGCGCCTCCTCGGTTCTCTCCATCGCCACCGCCACGACACCGTACGGAAACGGGACCTCTCGCTAAAATCCACGCGCCCTGAGCCATGCTTGAGCTTCCTCATTCTTTCAATCGCCACCGCCACGACTTCGCACGGAAACGGGACCCGTCGCCAAAGACCACGCGTCCTGATCCATGCTTGCGCTTCCTCTGCTCTCGCCGTCGCCACCGCCACGACTTCGCACGGAAACGGCACCCGTCGCTAGAATCCACGCGCCCTGATCCATGCTCGCGCTTCATCGGTTCTCGCCGTCGCCACCGCCACGACTTCGCACGGAAACGGCACCCGTCGCTAGAATCCACGCGCCCTGACCCATGCTCGCGCTTCCTCGGTTCTCGCCTTCGCCACCGCCACGACTTCGCAAGGAAACGGCACCCGTCGCGCCCTGACCCATGCTCGCGCTTCCTCGGTTCTCGCCTTCGCCACCGCCACGATTTCGCATGGAAACGGCACCCGGCGCCGAAGTACACGCGCCGTTGCCCATGCTCGCGTTTCCCCGAGGCCCCTTCCCATGCTCGCCACCGCCGCCAACCCCTCGAGACAAAACCTCCCGGGGCCGACCCCCTCCCCCCCTGGAACCTCTTCCTCCTCCTCCTCCTCCTCCTCCTCCTCCTCCTCCTCCTCCTCCTCCTCTCCTCCTCCTCTCCTCCTCCTCCTCATCCCCCTCCTCCTCCTCCTCCTCCTCCTCCTCCTCCTCGGCGACGCGCACAGGGAGGCTGGCGCGAGGGAGGTGGCCCTCTGCAAGAAGGCGGGGGAGGGGCTGCTCGGAAGGCAGGGGCCCTCCAGGAAGCGCCCAGAGGCCTCTGAGCAGCATCCTCAAGGAGCCTCTGGGCGCTGCCTGGAAGGCCCCCCTGGTTTCCAAGAAGCCCCCCTGCCCCTGCTCAGAGGGCCCCTCTCCTCGCGCCACCCCCCGTCAGAGAGACGCAAGACTCGAGGTTGGAGGACTCGAACCGAACTGCCCCCCCCCCCCAAAAAAAAAAGCAAGCCCCGACTTGAGATCTGACGCGAGCTCCTGGGTGTGTAGGTTAACGACCAAGGAGTCGAACAGATACGATAACCCGTAGGTAGAGGTGAGCGAGGAAGAGGGCAGCTAATCCTTTTCCAGTGCGCTGCGCGGAGAGCAGCGCGGGATGTGCACCAATACCCGAGCCGACGGGATGTAATGATACAGTGGTGATATGAACGGACTTCACACACAGCTCCCGCTGCCAACGCCCCACGCAGACTGAACCGCCAGAACTCAAAACGGCCCCGTCAAGCAGCGACGGCAGATCCGAGTTCCAGCAAAATCGAGTCTGACACTTCTCCGATTTCGGTGGCAACTCATGGGAGCCTCCCATGCCATCTTGCTGGCTCTTGCGAATCGCCGCTAACCTACGCTGATCGACGCCGATCGACGCTGATCGCGCTCAATCGACGCTATTAGACGCGAAATCTGCGCTTTCTCATCGATTACCAGACGCTGGCGCACGCTCATGCATTCAAGAGATGGAATTTCGAGGACATGCATCCGAAGGGTGTGGTTTGCAAAGGGTGCGGTTTGCAACCCGCACCCTGGGTGAGCGGGCGAAGACCTCGACGGAGATCTCTGCCGCGCCCCGACGACGGCTCAGCAAACCTTTGATGCAACGCGGCCACCCCCCAGGCCACAGCGGCGCCGATCGCAAACCACACCCCAGCGCAAGCACACCCTCTGTTCGGGAGCGGCCAAGAGGGGGGTGTCCAAGAGGGGGGTGTGCAAATCATGACCGGCGGCATGTGCGCGGCCCAGCGGGGGGGCCGGGGACGTAATGAAATAAGAAGAGGCGCCACGAAATCTGGGGAGAGATCATGGCCCCCGCCATGATATCGCCCCCCCCCTAGTCATCACCCCCCTCTTTTCCGCCCCCGACAGTCTGTAGACGCCGACTACAAGGCTCCCATGGTCTGCCACCGCACCGGACCCACGCGCGCGCGGCCCATGGTCCGCGAGCGGGCGCCGGGCGACCCGAGGCGCCGACGGCGGGATGTCGAAGCTGCGGCGCCAGGTCAGCACCTGCACGCAGGGCGGCGGTCGCGGCCACGGCGGCGCCGCGAGGGCGCGGCGCTGGCGTTGGCCGAAGGGCGAGAGTGCTCGCCCGAGCCCGGCGGGCCCAAGTGGCGGTCCGAAGCCCCGCCTCAAGGAAAGTGATGGGCCAGTGCTCCACCACCACTACCATGGGTAGGAAAAGGAGGAGGGGGAGGACCTCCCCATCCTCCCTTCTCCCCTGTCCTGCCTATGGTGGTGGTGGTGGAACAGTTGATCCATCAGAGAAAATGGCTGGGTAGGGTCGGCGCGAGCCCAACGCGGGCGTTTCAGGTTGAACGCCGCCCGTGGCTCAGAATCGGCCCATAGTTGAACGACTGGGCATTTCTGAAGCGGCCGATCGTACCAGTCTGAACGATCCCCGCGGTCTCATGAACCAACGCCAGGGTCCACGACGCGAACCTGCCGCACCCAAACTTCGGCGGCGAGCTAGGGGGGAAGCGGGAAAGGACGGGCTCTCTAAGAAGGCTCGGAAGGGCTCGGACCTTCTGAAAGGACTCCTTGCCCTTCGCCGAAGGCACACCAAGAGCTTCGCAGAAGGCGCGAGGGCTTCTGAGAAATCCCGCCGCCTTCTGAGAAGGCCTTTTCCTTCAGAGGGCAACTATCTTCGAGCGTCGCCGAAGCGCGAATATCTTGCGTTTTCGCGTCGCCCCCCTTCCCCCCCCGAGCAAGATGAGGGGCCAGCGCGTCGCTCTGAAATCACCTTGACCTCGAAAAGCGAAGCGCGACTAACCTTGCACCCTCGTAGTGGCCCTGGCATTCTCACCTCACCCTTTGCTCGCCGCCGATAGCGTTAGGTCGGGCATGTCCCCCACAGGCAGATCGTGGACGAAAAATAAAAAATGCAAGAAAAAAAAACTCCGAATATTCAAAAATACTTCAAACATCGTCCCCATACTATTTTGGACATTCCTCCTGTAGAGGGACACGCCCGACGTAACGATAGCGAGGGCGGGAGGAGGGGGAGGAGGAGGGGGGGGAGGAGGAGGAGGAGGAGGAGAAGGAGGAGGAGGAGGAGGAGGAGGAGGAGGAGGAGGAGGAGGAGAAGGAGGAGGAGGAAGAGGAGGAGGAGGAGGAGGAGCAGGAGGAGGAGGAGGAGGAAGAGGAGGCGGAGGAGGAGGAGAAAGGCGGGTCGCTTAAGCCCTTCGGAGAAACCCTCCAACATTACCGTTGGGGCCCCTCCGGACCATGAAATCCAGACGCTGCCCCTAGACATGCCCGCGACGTGACACAAAAAACACACGACGAGAGGCTTGTGATCGCTGTCAGCCTCCGAGAGATCATGGCTGGGCCCCAGGGCCGTCGAGAAAAACAAGATCGCGACGAAGAACTAGCCCATATGAAAGGGTCGGGACTTCTGGGGACCCCGTGCTAAAATGATCGGGACCTCGCACGTCTGGGGAGTAGACGCACGCGCCCTGCCCAACAGCCCACCAGACAGGCGCCGTCCCCGGCCAACCCGTCGCTGTGGCAGGGGAGGGCTCGCGGGGGGGGGGCGTGCTGCACTTCGAAGAGGATCGGGTCATCAAGAACGAGGCGGCTGAGGGAGGAGGAAGCGCTGGACGGTGGCAGTTGGCGCCTTCAGGAATTGAGGCCCGAGTTGTGGAGGTACGTTGGCACCCATCCCTGCGGCCGTCTTCGTCGGCCGAGGGGCCGCAGGGAGGGCCTCGGCCCCCTCCGTTGGCAACTGACGCCGTAATTCATTCGTGCAGCATTGGTGGGAGAGGGCGACCACAGCGGCCTCTGTGATAGCAGCCGCAAGGGTTGTGAGGCCTATGATGGCCCTCACCAGGGTGGGTTTGGGGAAGGTGGCAGAAAGGTCGAAGCGGGTGTCCGACGGCAACGCTTTTGGGGGATGCTTGAAAGGGCACGAAAAATAACGCTGGTCATTCGTCTGTGCTCCAGCCGCACCAAAGGCCGACCCAGACCATGTAAACCCGACCCAGACCCCCGACATGGCCCCGACCCCGAACATCGGCGACTAACCTCATGTCGAAAATAGGCCGGTACGTCCAAAAAAGGTTGGGAGGGGGCGGGCCAGGCAGAAAGAAGGGAGGAAGAGGAAGAAGGTATAGGATACGGGGGCGGGAAGCGTTTTCGAAGCTGTGTTTCAATATATATATATATATATATATATATATATAGGGTCCTGCAAGCGGAGGACACCTCGAGCCTCTGAGCTGCGCATAAAGGTCCTGACAGAAGCACTTTGAATAGGATAAGTAAGTGACCAGTGCCTTACTTACGCGTCTGGTGCATTACTTCTACGTCCTTCCGCTTGCCCCCCGCCGCCGACGGCCAGGAAATCCCGTTCACGCCAACGGCCGCCCCTCACCGCTCGCCACGTCAGACAGGTTGGGGGCACGGTGTTAGAGGCCTCCTAGATGGGGTCGGGGTAGATGGGGTCGGAGGATCGCGCCGCATCGCCGATGCATCGGCGACGCATCGGCGATGCGCCACCGATGCATCGTCGACATCGGCGGTGCATCGGCGGCGTCGGCGTGAAGCAAATCGGGCTCCGCATCGAGCCGCATCGGCGATGCATCGGCGCTGCGGAGCGACCCTATCTACTCGGACCCCATCTAGGAGGCCTAGAGTTGTACAGGGGGACAAAGTCGGGCGTTGGCAGAACTGGGTTTAGTGGGATCTGGTTCAGTGATGTGTACTGGGGGACGCCCCCCTCGCCCCGTTCCACTAACCGGAACTGCCGCCACCCGAAAAACACCAGCTACGGCAGACCTGGCCTACTGCAGGTCCGTGCCGTGTCGACCCTGGCGTTGGTTCCTGACACCGCGGGGATCGTTCAACCTTGAACGATCGGCCGTCTCCGCAACGTCCAATCGTTTAACGTCGATCGATTCTGGGTCGCCGGCGGCGTTCAACCTTGAACGCCCGCGCTGGGGTCGCCGCTGGTCGACACGACGCAAACCTGCCGTAGTACTTCTGGCCAACTTAGGGGCTTCGGGGCCATACTGCTAAGCGGGTCCCCTTACCTGGGGATTTTAATGCCCAGAAGTTATCTGGAGATCGTGGGAATGCCGACATACGATTTGGATGCACCCCCAAAGATTGCCCGAAGTTCGTTCGCCCAGAGGGCCCCGATCGCGCTTGCAAGATAGACCCTATCTAACCCTCGACGCCACGACGTCGATGACAGCGCGCGGCCGCCCCACCCTGGAGGCACACGCAGCTTCCCGATTTACCTGTCTCTGACGACGACGACCACGCGGCTCCTTCCAAGCCGGATAGCGCCCGCCCCTTTCTCCACCACCCACCAGCGCAACAGATAACTAAATGCTTCCCCTGCGTGCCCCCACCCCACAGAGGGCGCGCAGCTCCTGGCTGCGCCCCTGCAGCGGCGGCGCCTGGCCCTGCGCGCCTGTCCGCGCACCAAGTAGTTCCCCCTCCCAGGGGCGCTCCAAATCCCGAGGGCGCCCGCCGCCTGGCCCCTGCGCGCCGCCCACCCACGCCGCCAGACCAGCCCCCCCTCCACCTCTCCGCGCCCGCCTGGCGCGCCGCAGGTCCTCGCCCACGGGCGCGCCAACCAAAGCCGACCTGATGGGCGCGCCGACTCCGGCATGGGCGCGCCCCGCTCTGGCCGCCTGCCACTACTGCCCGCCAGCCCTCGGGGGCCGATATACCCCTCCCGCCCGGCGCCCCCCGCCCCGTTCCCGCGCGTCGGCTCGGCCCCTGCTCCAGGGCCTTATTCTCCCTCGTGCCGCGGGGCGCCTGCCCGCCCGCTGCCCTCCCGCCACGGGCCCCCGCCCCTGCCCCGGCGCCGCCCCCTCCCTTGGGCCGCCCCGCCTCGCCACCCGCCCTTCGACGATGCGCGCCAGCGCTCAGGGCCGCCCCCTGGTCGCGGCTGCTGCCCGCAGCCCCAGGGCTCTGCGGGCTGGCCCTGCCGGCAGCGCGCGCTGCCCTGCTCGGGGGTCTCCGCAGTCGCGGTTCACCCCGCTCCGCCGGGAGCCTCCGCCCGCGCCCGCGCCCCCTGGCACGCGGCGCCACCCTCCACCAGGCGGGCGGCGCGTCCGTTCCCCCGCCCCTGGGCTCCGCAGGTGGCCGCCGCCCCTGCCGGCTGTTGCCCATCCAGGACAACGCGCAGCGGCTCTCCCCCCGTTTCTGCCCCCCCGATTGGGGGCCCACGCCCATGCCCCAGTTGCACTGGGCACCGCCGCACCCTGGGCTGCGACGCACGCACAAGACTCGGGATAACGCGTTTCTCCGCCGTCCCTCTTCGCCACATCGCCCCTGCGCGGCCTGCGCCGCCCGGCTACTCTGCGGCGCCGTGCCACTGTGCCGCCCGCCCTGCAGCGCCTTGCGGGTCTGCCCCCCGGCAGCGCCGCAGCGCCGGCTGCGCCGCGCTCCCTGCCCGCTTCCGCCCCCCCGCCCTGGCGCTCCGGTCCGCAGGCCGCCTGCTGCCCCTACCCCCCCCCGCTGGCCGGGCCCCGCCCGCACTGCGGCTGCTGGCCCCGCCCCCAGGCGCGCCCGCGACGCCGCCCCGCGCCGCAGCAAAGGGCTGCCCTCCAGCCCTGCCGCCCAGCGCGCCCCCCGCGGCCCCGCCGCCCGAGTGCTCCCGCGCCCCGCCGCGGTCGCCCCCTCCCCCAACTCCTCTCTTGCGCGCGGCTCAATCAGCAACTCCGCAGCCCGGTTTCGCCCCGCGCGCGAGCGGATCGCCCCTGCCGCGCCGCGACGGAAAAAGCGCCCCCGCGCCGTGGGACAGATGCGGTTGGCTTCGCGTTGACGCCTGCATTCCCTGGGCGCGTCTTGGCCGCGCGTGGCACGGAGCAGCGGGGCGCAGCTGGGGCGCCACAGGTCTTCCGGCACCCGTGCCATACACTGGCCCATCCTGGAGCGTCTCCTGTCCGCCGCCCCTGGGCGACCGCATTTCGGCCGCACGTGCCTTAGATACGGCCCATGATGTCATGGCGCTGGTAGTTAGCGAGCCGCTCTCTCTCTCTCTCTCTCTCTCTCTCTCTCTCTCTCTCTCTCATGCACTAGCAGCACGTGCGTACCCCGTCGGCAGCACATGTCTGTATGGAGCCTCCCCCGTCGTCGGGTCCTTGATGGGCCCGCCGACAGGGTCAACGTCCTTGTCTGGATCGAGCATGGGGTCGTCGCTTCCCGGGTGAGCAGCACAGGCTGCGGGAATGGTGCCCCTTGACCCAGACGTCCTCGCGTCCTTGCCCAGGAGGCGTGCGGTTCGGGGGCCGTCGGGATTGGCGTCCGTCGGTATGGTTGCCGTCGCGCCGTGCGAAGGCGTCGTCAATGGACCGGGTAAATGATGGCCGCGGTGCATGGCATTCATGGATGCGTACAATGTGTTGATGCTTTGCCGTTTTGCTGGCGCCGCTCTGCCCAGGGCCACGTCGCGTGGGGTTCCTGTGGCTTCTGAGGCTGGTGGAAGTCCCAGGCCGCGGTGGCTGGTCGCCCAGGCTGGCTGTGCTAGCAAATCCAACTGGGCCACCGTCGCGTCGCGCAGCCTCTGTGTGGTAAGCGCAACCCTGTGTGGCGCATGCTAGTGCTGCTAGTTGCCTCGTTAGCATGTGGCCTGAACGTACCAGAAAAACAAAAAAAAAAAAAAAAAAAAACGTGGTGACGCGCGTCGCCGACGTTGGCGGACAAAACGGCATTGCCTCCCCCCTCTGTTCTGCACAAGGCCACGGTCGGCGCGGGGGGGCACTGGGCATCGGGGCTGGTGCCCGTAGCCCCCAGTCACTCGGAAGAAGGCCGCACACGGCGACGTGGGCGTGGGCGAAAGCTCCCACGGAGCCGCATCGCATGATGACACCCACCCAAAAGCGGCGTCCACTGGCGCGCGGCTTGATGGGCAGGCGTCGCTGAACCAAATGCTTCGGAACGGTAAGGTACGGGCGCGAAGACTGGAGGAACAATGATCATAGCACAACCTGTGCTATAGCGGACCCGAGCAAACTGCCCCTGCAAAAGCAAGCAGCATGAGTCCGGAAAACGTCGGTGATTGTTACATCGATGGAAGGGGAGAGAAACACCAATCGAGGCCCCCTTCAGCACGGCCCCTGCAGTGGGGCGAGAAGGAGAGAGGGAGAGAGGGAGAGGGGAAGAGCGAGAGAGAGAGAGAGAGACAGAGGGGGAGAGGGTTACATAGGGCGAGGTGCGAGGGAGGAGGGTGACGAAACAGAGGAGGAGCGATGAGAGAAAGAGGAGGAAAGAGCGGGAGGGAAGGAGGAGGAGCCAGGGGGCGAGAGAAGGGAGGAGCAAGACGAGGAGGACAAACGCGCGCAGGGCCGCGCCGCCGCGGGGGGCCGGCCCGTGGCGAGCAAAGTGCGGCGCCTGCTCGGCGCCGTGCTTCACCACCGTCTCCTTGGCACGCGCAACAGGGCCGACGGTGGGCGACCCACGCGCTGGCTGCTCTGCATCTCTCCTGCCCGGTCCCGCCCCTCCCCCCTCCCCCGTCGCTCCTCCTCCTCCTCCTCCTCCCTCCTCCTCCTCCTCCTCCTCCTCCTCCTCCTCCTCCTCCTCCTCCTCCTCCTCCTCCTCCTCCTCCTCCCTCCTCCTCCTCCTCCTCCTCCTCCTCCTCCTCCTCCTCCTCCTCCTCCTCCTCCTCCTCCTCCTCCTCTCCTCCTCCTCCTCCTCCTCCTCCTCCTCCTCCTCCTCCTCCTCCTCATTCGCCCCCACCCACTCGTACGGCATGCGTTGAGGCTCTTTGTTCCACGCGCGGGCACCCAGCCGCCCGCCTTCTTGTCGAGGCCAGTCAGGCCGCCGTACATGCGCTCGTTGAGCCTGCGGCCGCACTGAGGAGAAAATTGACCGAGCCGTATCCAACCCCTTCTCCACGCGAGACAAATGGTTGTGTGAAAGCTCCATACAAAACAACACATCTCCCAAACGAATCCAATGAGCGCTGCCCTCATCTCCGCCGTGTCTCCCAGGAGCAGTTGCACAGTTCGCAGCCCCCAAGGGAGCCGCAGGGTCTCAAGTGGATCAGCGCTGCCCTCACCTCGGCAGTGCCTCCCAGGAGCCCAAGAAAAAGGGCGAGAGGTGCGCAAATTCGCAGTGCCCGAGGGATCCGCAGGGTCTCAGACGGATTTGGGCCGCCCTCAACTCCGTGGTGGCTCCCAGGAGCCGACGAACGTGACGATTGTTGTGCAGTTCGCAGCGTCCCAGGGAGCAGCGAAGGTCTCAACTAGATCTGCGCTGCCCTCACCTCCGACGCGCCTCAGAAGAGCCCGCAGAAGTGGCGACGGCTGCACACCCCAAAGCCTTCCAGGGAGCCGCGAGGGCATCGGCTTCGCCTGCGTGGTCCCCGACTCCGCTGGAACTCTGATGAACCCACGAAAAAGTGGTGACAGGTGCGCAGTTCGCAGCCTCCCAGGGAGCAGCGAGGTCTCGAATGGATCTGCGTGGCCCCCGACTCCGCTGGACCTCCCAAGAGAACACGACAGTGGCGTTAGGTGCCCAGTTCGCAGCCTCCCAGGGGGCCGCGAGGTCCCAAATGGATCTGCGTGGCCCCCGATTCCGCTGGACCTCTCAGGAGCCCACGAAAGCGGCGATAAGTGCGCAACCCCCAGCCTCCCAGGGAGCAGCGACGTCTCAAATGGATCCGGCCCCCGATGCCCGATTCCGCTGGACCTCCCTGAAGCCCACGAAAGTGGCGACAGATGCGCAGTTCGCAGCCACCCGGGGAGCAGCGAAGTCCTAGATGGATCTGCGTTAAGAGGGCCCCAAGAGGCAGAAATACTTGATCTTCCTTTGGTCGGATGTTGGCGTTCTCACCTTTTCTGCGTTCCTACGCTCGAAGACGGCCCAAAAGGCCCCCAAGACCACCCCAAAACGGCCCAAGGTACCTACAAGCGGGCCCCAAGACGTCCTAAGAGCGCCCCAAGACGGCCTCAGAGGAGCCCAAGACGCGCCCAAAAGGGGCTCAAGAGAGGGAACACGAACCGAAGCCATCCGCCCCAACAGGCCCCAAGGAGGCCCCAAGAGGTGCCCAAGAGGCCCTCCGAAAGATGCTCCCAAGAGGCCCCAAAAAGGCCCCGAATTAGAGAGGCCCGAAAGAGGAGGCCCCCAGAGGCTCCAAAATGGTTCCAGAAAGGGGCCCAAGAGAGGGACACGGATCGAAAATCCAAGCCGTCCGCCCCAAGAGGCCCCAAGGAGACCCAAAGAGGCGCCCACGAGGCCCCCAGAGACCCCCAGAGACCCCCAAGAGGCCCCAGACAGGCCCTGCCCTCAAGAAGCCCAAAACAGGCCCCAAGAGGCTCCAAAACGGTCCCCAATAGACCTCAAAACTGCCTCCAAGAAGCGCCCGATAGGCCTCCCACGAGATCCCAACGAACATCCAATAGAATTCAGACCCACAACCCAGGCACGGTGGCAGGACTTGCCGTAGGCAGCTGGATACGTCAAACAAGTGCCCCACGCATGTTCGATGCCCCCTGCCTACAGATTGCACTTTGAATCGCGTGCCAGACGCGTGTTCGATACCCCCGTGGCAAAGCACGCGCCGAATGCAAGCCAAGGCGCATGCTGGCTGGATACCCCCACTCGACGTCTGCTTTACGCATGGCGAATTCGATGACCAATCCATGGCGTGAAGCAAGCGGGTTCTGAGGGAAACGGGTCCTTTGACCCCAGTGTTTTCCAACTTTTCATGTCCAGTCATCCTTCGGCGGTCTCGGAGCCCGTGGAGGGAGTTCGAAAAAGGCCCAGAAACCTCCAGGAAGGTTATATTGCTCCCATCGTACTTAAGGACCACATCCCAGAAATACTTTCGAGCACCTGGAAAAGTGTCGAAAGAGTGTCGAAAGAGTGTCGAAACAGTGTCGAAAGAGTGTCTCCTGGGGCCCGGCACGTGAAAACCCTTGAGCTTCTGGGTGCTGCTCTGGCGCTCGAACTTCTTCCTGGTGATCAAGGCCAAAGTAAGCTTGAACATCATGACAGGAAGGACCAGTTTCCCTCAGAGCACCCTCTCCCTGCATGGCAGCACTCCGACGAACCCTGCCCCGCATCGACAGCGCGCCGAGGGGCGAAGCGAGGGGGGGCGGGCCTTCTCGGGAGGCGGGGCTTCTCGGAAGCCCTCCGGCCTTCCGAGAAGCCCCCGCGCAGCTTCGGGGGGAAGGCTCGGGAAGCTTCTTCTGAGAAGGCCTGCTGACTGCCTAACAACCCTGGGTTGGGGCTGGTCGGTGGGTGGTGAGCCTGCCCCCTGTGCCCCCCACCCCAGGGAGCAACGCCGGTCTGGGCAGGTTCGCGTCGTGACGGCCTCGGCGTGGGTTCCTGACACCGCGGGGATGGTTCCACCTCAGGGCTGAACCCAAACGGTGTCTTGGCCATCTCGTGGGCCGCTCTGTTTCTCGTTCTGTTCTGCATTCAGGGCGAGGCGAGGGCAAAACGAGGAAGGACGAAAAACAACACGAAAGCGAAAAGCACCGTTTAGGTTCAGCCCTGTTCAGCCTCGAACGATCCGCCGTTTCCGGAACCTCAGATCGCTCAGCATCGACCGACTCTGGGCCGCTCGTGGCGCTCGAATATCGAGCGCCGGCGGCGGAGCCGCCGCCGACCGACACGACGCGAACCTGCCGTACAGCCTCTGGTCCAGTCGGGTCGTCGTCGTCGCCGTCGCCGTCGTCGGCCTCGGCCTCGGCCTCGGCCTCGGCCTCGGCGGCAGCAGCGGCCGAACCCGAGGATCGGGCGCTGCCAGAAGTGCCTCTGGCCCAAAGTGCCCCCAGGATTTCCGAGGAGGTCCCCACGCCCTCCAGAGCGCCCTTCGCGAGGCCCATAAGGCCCCGGGGGCTCCAAATTTGAGCGAGAAACGGGGGGCACCTTGCGCCAGGGGCAACATCAGCAACCCCCGATCCAGGCCCCCAGGGCCCGACGGCACACACTCCTGCGTCGGCGACTGGGCAGCGCTGGCGGAGGGCTACCCACTGAGCGGGGGATGCCGTGGTAGCGAAATGTGCCACCATGCGGGAGGAGGAGCAAGGCGGAGGAAACGGCCGAAAGAGGGGGCGAGAGAGGAGCGAGGCCGCTCGGGGGGACGCCCGAGAGCACACAAAGCGAGAGCCTTGCGCCCACGCTCCCGCCTGGAAAGCAAAACTCGCGGGCGCGGCGCGCGCGGTCCTCCACGTCTTGGCCACGGGCACATACAGCTGGTCCGCTGCCTGCGCTGGCGGCGAAGGGAACGCCGGGACCTCCGACGCGGTGGCTCTTGACCCCAACTCAGGTGCGGCAGGTTCGCGTCGTGTCGCCCCCAGCGTTACTTCCTGGCACCACGGGGAGCGTTCAAAGATCGGCCTTTTCAGAATCGCTGGATCGTTCAACGACGGGCCGATTCTGGGCCACGGGCGGCACTCAACCTTGAACGCCCGCGCTGGGGTCGCCGCTGGCCGACTCGACGCGAATCTATTGTGCCAAAAACGGCGCGATGATGGACCATGCGGTGACCCCGAAATCCCGGAGGACCTCATCGAACGGTCCTTCACGGCACTATTTTGGGACCTCGGAGGCCCCAGTCGTCCGAGACATCACCGCGCGGCCATCCCAAATCCCCACTGGATCACCACACGGTGTGGTCACCACACTTTCGGGGGGCCCCCGACCCAAGCGTCAGCCAGCCCCAGGACAAACGGATGCGGGATGGAATGCTGCCCCCACTGCAAAAAGATCGGAGGGTCTGGGGCCACGGACTTTTCCATCAAAGATTGGATGGCGAGGTACGTTGACCAGACCTCCTCCAAGAAGCCCTGAGTAATACAGCACTGCTGCAACACATCTTCCGGTGACGCGGTCCAAAGAGAGCTCAGGAAGGAGCCCGTGACCGGAGATCTTGAATGCCGATCAGGGAAGGGTGACGAGAAGAGTAAGAGGTAACGGAAGGGGACGGTGCAGAGAGGCGAGGGGGGGGGGGAGAGGAGGGGCGGGGAGAGGGAGGGGGAGCGGGAGGTCGAGATTGCAATGTCTCGTGCGTTTCTCTGCAAGCGCGATGGCACGGTGGTAGGGTCACGAGGCGGCCCAGCAGTTCGGCCACCCCGAGTCCAGATGCGCTGTGCAAGTGAACAGCCGAAGGTCAGCGTGGAAAGCACGCCGACCGACCGCGTGGCACCGCGCAGGTCTCCGAGAGACATGGTGGCGGCGCGGTCAGCGGACCGCGGGCTCGGGGCCGTCCGGCGCCGTAGGACGCGGCCGCCGCGGCCTCCGCCACCTCCTCGGCTGTGCGAGCGCCCGCCGCCCGCTCGGCCTCGAGCGGCGCCGACGGCGCCGCTCCCGCCGCGCCCCCCCGCGGAGGCACGAGCGCGGGGCGCGAGGCGCGAGACCCGCCAGGTTTCCAGCCTGCCGGCCCTCGGCTCGGGCGGCGCGGCAGCAGAGGCCGAGGCCGCCGCAGCCTCCGCCCGCGCGAGCCAAAAGGCCGCGATGGTCCGCCGCGGCGCCTTCCCTGCCACCGCGGTGCGAAGTGCGGCGGCCACCAGGGCCGCGCCGTCGAGCGCCGAGAGGACTCCTCTGGGCCCCGCCAGCGGGCAGAGGGGAGGCGCGGACGGGCAGGGCCGTGCGATCGCATGAGCCAAGATGGCTACGGAAGGGAGGAGGAGGACGAGGAGGAAGAGGAGAAGGAAAAGGAGGAGGAGGAGGCGGCGGACAAGCGAAAACCCAAGACGCATCAACGATGCTGCAATAAACCTCCCCTTAAATGTCCCTCTTCAGGTGTCCCTACAAGACCCTAGTTTGATTGCGGAAAGTGCCCAATTTGAAAGCAACAACTTACGAATCCTACATCGTGCCACAACCCCACCTCTCGGACTGGTACACAGCGAAGCAACTATACTGCTGCGGCCTGACAATCCTAGTTCGTGGCAGAACACCATTCTTGGGACTTCAGCCATACGATTCCTTGAAAATGTTGCAAGCGTTCAAGGCGAATGTGCGCGCTGCTATGGCGAGAGCCACATTTTGAAAAGGAACCGCCCATCATCTTTGAAACTGCTGCACGTCCTTAAATCGATTGAGCGCGGCGCTACAGCGAGCGCCACAGTTTGAAAAGGCCCCCCGCCCTCCATCCTTGTGTTGCAAATTTAAAAATTGAATGCGCGCGGCGCTAAGGCGAGCGCCACCTTTTGAAAACGACCCGCCCTCCTCCCTCGAATTTGGTACAAAACGTTTGAAAAAAGAATGCGCGTGGAGCTGGTGCGAAAACCACATGTTGGAAAACATGTGCCCTCCATCGGTGAAACTGTTGCAAATTTCAAGGTCAGCCAGCGTTGATTCCAAATAGATTAGACGACTCAAATCAAGGAACCAGAGGAATCAAGCATGCTTGAAATCCGCAACTGAGCAAGCAAGCAAGCGCGCAAGCTAACGCACAAGCAAGCAAGCAAGCAAGCATGCAAGCATGCAAGCAAGCACGCATAGGCATAGGCGTAGGCATAGGAGTTAGGGTGGAGGCATAGCCATAGGCATAGCCATAACTGTAGGAATTAGGGGGACATAAAAATTAGGGGGAAACGGGGGACAACGGACCAGTTAGTAGGGTTTGACCTAGAACTGCTAAAAGGCAAACCTATTTGGAGAAACTCCGAGATCATAATTTGTGTACAGAAAACTCAGGCTAAGCGCCAGGCCCGCATTACCGACAGGACCCGGGGTGCGACATGGAGAACGCATGCACCTGTTATATATTCATATGTACAGTATATGTATATATACATACATACATACATATATGTATGTATGTATACACACATATATATATAAATATATATATATATATGTATATATATATATATATGGGAAGGACGAGAAGGAGAGAGGAGGAGGTGGAGGAGGAGGAGGACGATGGTCCGGGGGCGGGATCACCGCTGGTGTGTTCCCTTCCCGCGCCGCGCCACCCCAGCCCGCCTCGAGCGCCAGGTTACAAGTCCTGGCGGCGGGGCGCGGCTGCCGGCCAGCGGCTGCCAGAACGAAGCGGGCGGGCCTGAGCTATAGATCGAATCGCGAAATCGGATCGGGTCCGAAACGGGTCGAACCGCGCCTGGGCCACCACTTACGTAATCGGGTCGGGGTCGGATCGTCTGGGGTCGCGGATCGAATGGGCTCGGCAACCTCTGAACCGAAGAACACAGCGGATCGTGCCGGACTGGATGGCATCGACATTGGAATCGGTGTTTGGGGGGTCGCATCGGCTCGAATCGAACCGTGGGCGGCTCTGGCTGGCGGGCAAAGGGAACGGAGCCCAAGAGTATCCACTTAATTGTCTCCTCCGAGGCGCAGTCAATACTTCCGATAAGGACGCACGATAATGACGCAAGGGCCTCGGAAGGCCGCGGGAGCGGGGCGCGGCCAACGAAAGTGGCCAAGGATGGGCCGAAGGGAAAGGATCCGAGGGAATACTTCGAATGTCGCTCATTTTTACGATGAGTGTTGATTGTATGCAACAGTGCCCTTTGGTGCGCGACCATCAGGGACTTTCGGGGGGCGCGAGGGGGGCCACAACTGAGCGCGAAAGCCGCTGCTATCGCATCGCATCGCGCGGAGGGAAATTCATCCATTCTCACCATCAGCGTCGCTGGATGTACCAAACCGACCAGTCCAACGCGAGCGGGAGCAGGGCTGAGACATCCACGCCGCCTGCCCCTCCGCTGTGTCGCCCCCCCCGCCACGCACACATGTTTTGCGTCGGCGGCTAGGCAAGGGTCGTCTGCGATAGCGGAAAAGCCGAAACGGGGGTGCCATTAGAGCGAATTGTGCCACCATGCCGGAGGGGGACGAGGCGCAGGACGCGGCCGAAATAGGGGGCGGAGGGAGCGAGCCGATCAGGGGGACGGGTCACGCCCCGAGCGCGCGGCACGGCCAACCCCGCCGGCGGGCCCGCGGCGGGTGCTGCACCAGGGGGCCGGCGGCGGCGGGGCGCAGTGCGAGGGCGGGAACCACCCCGGGCTTAAGAATGCGAAACGAACAATATCAAACCCTGACGGCCGCCGTTCCCCAGGGCGGAAGCGGGCGCGGCACCAGCTGAAGGTGGGGCGCCAGCGGCGGGCGGCAAGACCAAGCCCGGAGGGCCAGCGGGCAGCAACTGCGGCAAGCCTGGGGCAGCGGCTGCGAGCAGCCGAGAAGCGCCGTGGCGGCGCGCAAGGAGGGAGAGCGAAAGCGGGGGGGGGGAAAGCGAACAAGGAGGAAGACGCCGCCACACACGCACACACACACAACACATACACACACACACACACACACACACACCACCACCACCACCACCCCGGCCCACGCACTGGACCTGATCTCCGTCCTCCTCCTGATCCTCCTTTTCCTCCTCGTCCTCCTCCTCCTCCTCTCCTCCTCCTCCTGCTCCTGTTCCTCCTCCTGCTCCGCCTCCTCCTCCTCCTCCTCCTCCTCCGCCTCCTCCTCCTCCGCCTCCTCCTCCCCCTCCTCCTCGTCCTCCTCCTCCCCCTCCTTTTCGTCTTCGTCCTCCTCCTCCTCTTCTTATTACTAGTCGCATTATTCTTATTCTTATTATTATCATTATTATTATTAGTATTAATAATAATATTAATACTATTATTAGTAATATTATTATTATTAATAATATTATTAGTATTAGTATTATTATCATTATTATTATTATTATCATCATCATCATCATTATTATTATTATTAGTATTATTATTATTATCATCATTAGTATTACTATTATTATTATTATCATTAGTATTATTATTATTAATAATAACATTACTATTATTATTATTAGTATTACTATTATTAGTATTGTTATTATCATTATTATTATTAACAATATTATTAGTAGTAGTATTATCAATATTAATAATATTATTATTTTCATCATTAGTATTATTAACATTATTATTACTATTATTATTATCATTAATATGATTATGATGATTAGTAGTAGTAGTAGTAGTACAATTAGTATTAGTAGAATGATGGTAAGTATTATTAGTATTACTAGCATTAGCATTATTATTATTATTATTGTTCGTATGATTGTTGTTATTAGTATTATGATTAGTAGTAGTAGTAGTAGTATTAGTAGTAGTATTGTTCTTATTAGTATTATTATGAGTAGTCTTATCATTAGTATTATTGTTGATCGTATGTTTATTATTAGTTCGTAGTATTCGTATTATTCTTATGGTCCGTATTATTAGAATTGTGTTCATTATTAGTAGTAGTAGCATGATTAGTATTATTATGATTCGTCTTCTTAATAGTATTATTTCTATTATTATTACTCTTATTTTTCCTCCTCCTCCTCCTCCTCCTCATCCTCCTCCCCCTCCTCTTCCTCCTATTGACCTATGGACCGGCAGTAGAAGGCGGGTCCATGTACTCCAGGGACCTTCACGAAGACTCGCGAGATTATCCTCTCTCGTGAGAGGCCACAGCGGGTCGCAACCTGCCCCCTCACATGGGTAAAGTGTCCCACGGGCCACACCAGCAAGCCCTTCGGCTTCACTCCCCGCAGCAACCTCCGAGACGCTTTGATCCCTGTAGTTCTGGGCTGGCCGCAGGGGGCAGAAAGGTCGGTCGCTTTCGACGCGGCCCACCTTCCACACCTGGCACAAACGAACACCCCCTTAGTCCCACGAATGTCGGGGTGGTGGGTGGGGTGGACATCAAAAATATGATACCCGAGAAAAGCCCATCCATCCTTCTTTAGGGCTATAGGGCTATGGGGCTACAGGGCTATAGGGCTTTAGGGCTATAGGCCTATAGGGCTATAGGGCTATAGGGCTATAGGGCTGTAGGGCTATAGGGCTATAGGGCTATAAGACTATGGTGCTATAGGGCTATAGGGCTATAGGTCTATAGGGAGATGAAAGCAATAAGGCTATAGGGCTACAAGGTTATAGGGCTATAGGGCTATAGGGCTATAAGGCTATAGGACTCGAGGGTTATAGGGCTATGGGGTTATAGGGCTATAGGGCTATAGAGCTACAGGGTTAAAGGGGTATACGGATATAAGGCTATAGGGCTATAACGCTACTGGGGCTGTAGGGCTATTTTGGCTATAGCGCAATTGGGATATTAAGGCTATAAAGCTACAGGGCTACAAGGCTATAGGGCTATAGGGCTACAAAGCTATACGGCTATAGGGCTTTAGGGCTGTAGGGCTATAAGGCTACCAGGCACCTGGGTACCCGGGCACCGGGCACCCGGGCACCCGGACGCACCGCCGAAATCGGCGCCAACCCCTCACCTAACCATATGAATCCGCTAGGACCCCTACAGAGGCAAGCTCTGATTGAGGAACATATTTCTTTGGGAAGCGCACTTGTGTCACCCACCTTGGAAACGGCTTGTCAGAGAAGGCCGCAGTGTGTGTGTGTGTGTGTGCAGCTCGCGTACTCGGAACCCCCAAGAATGAAATGCGGGCTCATCTCGGCCTCCCGGTTCAAGTTGGGGCCGAACTTCCAACTGAGGACCTGGATACACGCAAGCCTCGCTCTGATCAGCAAAGTCTGCTCATCCCTGGACAGAACCTCCAAAACCTCCTCCTCCGCAAATCCAAAGGACTCAACTGCTCTGCGCGCTCCTCCCCCTCCTCCTCCTCCTCCTCCTCCTCCTCCTCCTCATCCTCCTCATCCTCCTCCTCCTCTTCCTCCTCCTCCTCCGCCTCCTCCTTCTTTCCCTCGTCCTCCTCCTCCAACAGCGAGGCTGTAAGCGGCCCCTGGGGGACTTCCCGCGGGCAGTCTGGGGCGCCTTGAGGGTCCTTTTGATGCCTAAGGTCTCCTCGGGAGATGGCGGCTGCGCAGTGGCGACGGCAGCAGCGAGGCGGGGAGGCGGGCGGGAGAGAGCGCGCCCGCCGCCCTCCGCAAGGACGACGCTGCCCCGCACCGCAGCCGCCTCGGTGCCCTCCCCTCCCCTCGTCGTCCGTCGTCGTGAAGGTCGTTGTCGGCGTCGTTCCCATTGCTGGAGGCACCCCTCTCCCCGCCCGTGCGTGCGGAGGTGGAGAGGGATCGTATTCAGCCCTGCCTGGGTAAAGGGGTTCCCCCGAGGTATAACCAGCAGACCTGAACTTATCTGATCCCCGTACCAGAGGTGCGACCGAAGTAGGTTGGGTCCACCGAAGAGCCGCGGTCGCCGTCAGATTCGAATGTCCAGTCGGCGCCGGCGCTGGAACAAGATATGGGCACGGATATACTGATTGAGGTCGTTGTTGCGACGGTACATGGGTCGAGCCCGAAATGCCGAATTAGTTTCCGCAAGCTGGCTACTGCTTGCTCCCGCGAAAGCGGTGACCCTGGATAACTCGCTTCTCCGATGCGGATGGCACGAGTAGGCGATATCTGGCATTGGAGGTTGGGGGTGAGATCGAAGTGGAACGGAGAGCCCCCCACCAGGAAATCGGTTTCGGTTTCGTGTTCGGGCGTGCCGTGCGTACGGGCGAGGCGAAGCCGCGTGGGCGGGCGAGAAGAAAAGTCTCCTGTGGCTGAGGCGCGGCCGGACCAAATGATTCCACCCCCGGCAAACGGGGCCGCGCGGTGTCCCGCCGGTTTCCCGCCGGTGTCCCGCTGGTGTCCCGGTAAATCTCCTGTGGCTGCGGCGCGGCCGGACAAAAATGTTTCCCGACTGGCAAACGCGGCCGCGCGGTGTCCCGCCGGTGTCCCGCCGGTGTCCCGCCGGTGTCCTGCTGGTGTCCCGGTGTCCCGTTGGTGCGAAAACGATACTGAGACCGATAGTTGGATCGATTGTGAAATCGATTGTTAAATCGATAGTGAGATCGATCGAGTGATATCGATGGTGAAATCGATTGTGGGATCGATAGTGAGAGCGATACTGGGATCTATGGTGAGATTGCTTTTAACAAACGAGTCGGCACATCCCGCGCTCTTGCAAACATCCCACCCACGCACCCGCAACTTGGTTTGCAAAACCCATGAAGTGGCGATTGCGATGCATGCTCGGCGTTGGCTGGTGCGTGTCTGCGGCCGCGCCAACCCAAGCACGCGCGCGCAGCGGCCAGCTGGCTTGGAGCGACCGACGCGGCCGCGATGGCGCTGATCGTTGGGCACACACCAGCGGGCACCTCATTGCGAGTCGGCGACATGGGCGGGCGCGGTATCATGGCAACGTCGACAACGGTACACGTTGCGGGCGAGTCTCCAACGACTTCGACGACGACGACGACGACAACGACGACGACGAAGAAGGAGGAAGGACGGCGACGCCGACGACGACAACGACGACAACGACGAGGGAGGAGGGAAGACGACGACGACGACGACAACGACGACGACGACGACAGCGACGAAATAGGAGGGACGACGACGAGACGACGACGACGGACGACGACGACGATGAGGGAGGAGGAGGAAGAACGACCACGGCGACCACGACGACGGAAACGACCACGACGCCAAAGAGGACGACGACGACGAACACGAGGAAAGACAGAGGACGACGTAGGCGACGACGACGACGACGACGACGACGCGGGAGGAGGGAGGACGGCGACGACGACGACGACGACGACGACGACGACGACGACGACGCAAGAGCGCGCGCGCACGCTTTTGTTGAAAATCCGTGCTGCGAAGTTTTAATTTTGCAGGTTGTTTGGATGCACGATTTTGAAATCCTTCTGAAACCGATGGGTTTTGAAGGATTTCGGTACACGCGCGCGACGACGCGCGCGTCTGCACTTCGTCCCATTTGTTGCAGAGGATTCTCGCGACGGCACACGCGCAATGGCGCTCGACTGATTTCGACATGCGCGCGCGAAGCCCGTTTGGTAGCATGTTGTGAAAATCTTGAAAAAAAACCTATGGCTTTCTTGAGATTTCGCAAGAGTTCGCGCGTAAGCTTTTCTAGCAAATCAGTGTTGCGAAACCCTACATTTTTGTATGTTGTTTGGAAACTCGATTGCGAAATCCTTCCGACACCTGAGATTTTTGAAGGATTACAGCAGGCGCTTGCGACGACGCGCGCGTGCGCACTTCGCCCCAGTTGTTGCAAGGGACTTGTGAAAATTTCTGATTTGTGATAAACAAATGCGCGCGCATAGATTTTGTTGCAGCGGATGGCGGTGGGGGCCGATACCGATTCCCATGGGATAATGTAAATTCATACTTGGGATGGACATGCGGTCAGCATCATACAGGATTTATATACCCGAAAGGGGGGCGGATAACGCCGGGGGGTAAAGTCTGTTCAACTTTAGAAAGGAGAATCGATTGAGTAAGATCGACACGGGGTCCATCGAGTGAGATCGATAGAGAGATCGATAGTGAGATCGATAATGAGATCGGTGGAGTGATATCGATAATGAGATCGATAGTGAGATCGATAGTGAGATGGATAGAGAATTCGATAGTGGGATCGACAACGAGATCGAGAGTGAGATCGACAGTAAAATCGATCGAGTGAGACCGCAAGCCCTTGCAAAATGAACGAAATAATTGATGATGTCATTGGTTCCTGGGGGGACTGGAAAAAAGGCGCCCAAGAGCGAAGGGCGACGTAAGCAACTCGACACCAAGGCTCCCAAGAGCAAGCGGCAACGTTACATTCTCCACTGGCATCGCCAGAACAACAATCACCACTGTTGCCCATTGCTGGCCCCCTCCCCCCCCCCCCTCCTCATCACCCGCAGGGTGGTCGCATAGGCATAACGATAAACCAAACTTGCGCAGACGACACACAACATAGGTAAGATGTAACACTCCAACTCCAGTTGGAGCCGCGCAGTCTCAGTACCCCGCCGCATTCTGCAAAGCACAAGTGCGGCATCGCACCTGATACGCAAACAGATACCCCACAAGTTGCTCGACTTGGCGCCCGACCCGCCCCTACCAATGAGGTCTGAGTTACTATTATGAACTTCCAATTCGTCGGCGCCGTCGCAGGCGCTGGCGCTGCTAACGGCGCGAACGCGGACGCCAGCGTCGTCGGAAATAACGCCCACGGTGGTGTAGACACGGCATCTGCGCTGGCGCAAGCGCCGCCGTCGGCGCCGTCGTAGACGTGGGCGTTGGCTTCGGCGCTGACGTGGATGCCAGCATCGCCCAAGCTAGCATCGGCGCCAGCGCAGGCGCCGGCGTTCATGCTTGCGCAAGCACTGGCGTGGATGCCGTCGTGGTCGGAGCTGGCATCGGCGCCGGCGCAGGCGCGGGCGTTCGTGCTCACGCAAGCGCCATCGTCGGCGCCGTCGTAGACGCAAGCAGCGGTGTCGGCGTTAGCGCGGATGCCGGCGACATTGGAAATAGCGTCCGCGATGGTACCAGCGCGCTGGCGTAAGGGCCTCCGTCGGTGCCGTCGTAGGCGTAGGCGTTGGCGTTGGCTTCGGCGCTGGCGCGGATGCTGGCGTCGACGCAGCTGGCATCGGTGTTGGCGCAGGCGCTGGCGGTCGTGCTGTCGTAGGCGCAGTCGTCGGTGCTTTCGCGGGCGCAGGCGCGAGCGTCGGCGCTGTCGTGGATGCTGGCGTCGCTGGAGAGAGCATCGGCGTTGGTGTAGGCGCTGGCGTTCGCGCTCACGCAGGCGTCGTTCTCGGTGCCGTCGCAAGCGAAGGCGCTGGCGTCGACATTAGCGCGGATGCCGGCGTCGTCGGAGATTGCGTCGGCGATGGCGCAGGCGCCGGCGTCCGCGCCGGCGCGGGCGCCGCCGTCGGTGCCATCGTAGGCGCGAACGTCGGCTTCGGCGCCGCCGCCGATGCCAGCGTCGCCCGAGCTGGCCTCGGGCGGCGGCGGCGGACTTGCTGGCGCAGGCGCAGTCATAAGTGCACGCGCGGGCGCAGGCACGGGCGTCGGCACTGGCGTGGATGCCAGCGTCGTCGGAGCTAGCTAGATCCACGCTGGCGTGGGCGCCGGCTTCCGCGCTCACGCTGGCACCGTCGTCGGCGCCGTCGCAGGCGCAAGCGCCAGCGTCGGCGTTGGCGCGGGCGCCATCGGAGATAGCGTCGGCGATGATGCAGGCGCTGGCGCAGGCGCTGGCGTCCGCGCTGGAGCGGGCGCTATTGTCGGAGCCGCCGAAGGCGCAAGAGTTGGCGTCGGGACTGGCACAGATGCCAGCGCCGTCGAAGCTGGCGCCAGCATTGGTGCAGGCGCTCGTGCTGGCCTAGCGATATCGTCGGAGCCGTCGCGGGCGCAGGCGTTGGCGTCGGCGTTAGCATGGATGCCAGCGTCGTCGAAGCTAGCGCCGGCCTTGGCATTGGCACCAGCGTCCGTGCTGGCGCAGTCGCTCTCGTCGGAGCCGTCGTTGGCGGAGGCGTTGGCGCCGGCTCGGGCACGAATGCTGGCGTCGTCGGAGCTGGCGCTGGCATTGGCGCAGGCGCCGGCGTTCGCGCCGGCGTAGACGCCGCCGTCAGAGCCGTCGCAGGCGCGGGCGCCGACGTCGGCACTGGCGTGGACGCCGGCGTCGTCAGAGGTGGCTCTGGTGCCGGCGTCAGCGCCGCCGTTCACGCTGGCGCACGCGCTGGCGTCGGCGGTAGACCTAGCGCCGGCGTCGACGACAAGGTCGCCCTCCTGAGCGCGAGGCCCCCGATGTTCAGCCCCCCCAATCCGCGCGCCGTACAGCGGTGGTGACAAACGATAGAAGCGAATGCAATAATCGAGTCCGCGCAACACACCTGCGCTGTTCATTGCTAGCAGATTGTATATGAGAATGTACGCGTGCACCGGCTTGCGCCATATTCGCAACACTTGCGCACGGCACGCTGCGTGGAATGCACATGTTGTGGTGTCGACTACCCCCTGCCACGTCCGTACGGATAGCTGTAAAGTACCGTCGGCAGCGAACGCGCCACCAATACACCTATACGCAGCTACATCTGCACCTGGGTTTGGGGACCCAGGCCGTTCGCGGCATCGAAGCACGGCGGCTGTTGAATAGGCGGCTGCACCCGCGCGATGCGATACATCATCTCCACCTCTGACGTCTGCGCCAGGGCCGCAAACTCTTGTAGGGCAGGCCGTCCGTGGGCCCTGAAGTGGTCGAGTAGATCGTGCCTCTCCCGGCCTGCTGCTGCGGGCTGCCCCCAGCTGCCCCCAAACCGCAGGCAACTGAGGAAGATCACTGCCGAGAGCAGAGCACCAAGAAGCATACCACCGACGAGCCAACCCCATCCCAAGGACGCGCTCTGGCCAGCCGCCCCCCCCGCGCAGCGCGGCTGCTCGGCCCTGTCAGGGATGCCGAGCTCAGCGTCTGCGCCGACGACATGGGCACCGTGCTGTGTGGCTTCGGCCTCCTCGCCCCGATTCGGCCTCAAAAGCGTGTTGGTGCCGCTGTGCTTGGCCGCCAGCCCAACCCTGGCACCACCCGGCAGTCGGGCGGGTCCCCGGAGCACGGCAGCCCGCCGTGCGTGCTCGCCTGCCTGCACTCCGCCGGGAGTGCCGCGGCAGCGGCACAGGATCGCGAAGCCGCAGAGGACGCCCACGCGGTGGCACCGGCCCCTGCATGCCAGACCCCGCCCATGGGACCCAGCCCGCCCCATGGACCGCCCATGCCGTCAGTGGGATCCGCACGCCACCAGACGCAGGCGCAAGAGAGCGAGCGCCCAGGATGTCGACATAGGCGCGGAGTGCAGGGGACGCGTAGATACAGGTTGAGAACAAGAGTTGGAGGCCGGGGCAAGAGAAGACGTGGAGCCCTGAGCCGCGCGTGAGGCGCCGAGCTCGGTTTCGCGGACCCTGGGACCCGCCCGTGTTAAGATTCTACGGGGGAAAGGGGTTCGGTCATTAACTTTCAACTCATCATCGCCATTTGCACCTCAAGAGAAAAATCTCTCGTCATGGTAAAATATGCCCCTCCCCCTCCTGCTCCTGCTCATCATAAGTTTCGTCAGCGTCGGAGCAGAGGAGGCGAGCGCGTCTGTCTTGATCGCACGCTTCAGGAACGACGTGTACGCGACGTCGATCTGGAACCCGTCCGCCTGGCAGAGTTGAGGCGACAGCTGGGATCGCCATGGATCTGGATCTGCCTCCTCTTCTGGCCCTCAGCTCCGCCACCGTGCCTGCACGACGTGGGCGTCTATCCAGAGTGCCGCGTGCCGCCCGGCTGGATCTCTACAATCGTCGAAGGGCCCCTCCCCCCTCCCCCCCCCGCCCGAGGCTTCCCTGCGCACCTCCCCCAGCTTCCCCCCCTCCTGAGGCCCCCCTCCCCGCCTCCAAATGCTCCCCCTCTCCGCCCCCCCCCCCACCCCACCTCACGCGCACCGCCCCCCCCCTCCCCACACCTCCCGAAGGCTCTCTGACTACCTACCAGACCACCCCAACCCAACCCGAAGACCCGAATTTCGAGATGTGTTTTTTCGATGTTTCCCGACCCCCCCACTGGAAATCGAGGGTAAATCTGAGCCTTCGGGTTGGGTTGGGGTGGTTTGGTGGGTGGTGACTCTCTGCCCCGGGCCCTCCTGGCAGAATCTGCCACAGGCACCTGGGCGCATCCCTCACCACGTCCCCCCCTTAGTTCAGCCCTCTATCCCGCTGGCCCCCCATCCACTGAGCGGAGGGAAGGGAGCACCGAAATGGGGGGACGCAAGACTCGGGTGCGGGGGACTCGGGTTAGCCTGACGGTGGCCATCCTGAAAACGACGAGAACCAGTCTGAAACTTGACGCGGGTTCCCGCTGCAGACACCGCACGCGAACTGGACCGCCGAAATTTGGCGGCGCGCAGAGGGGGTAGGGGGAGGAGGGAAGGCTTCTTAGAAGCACCCCTGCTTCTTAGAAGGTGCGGGCCTTCTCTGTAGATGTAAGGCCGGCGCCTTCTAAGAAGCAGCCTCCTTCTAAGAAGCCTTCCACCCCTACCCCTACCCTCCCTCTGCGCGCCGCCAAGAAATCCAGGACGCGCTCCTTCGGCTCGAGCTCGAGCCTTACGCTTCCCCGAGCGAAGCTCTCCGCCCGCACGGAAGGCCCGGCGGGGCCCCTGCGGGCACAGCTCGCGGCCGCGCCGGCTCCGCCCTCCCTCCCGCCGGCTCCCGTCCACCGGGGAGGCGAACGGGGGCGGAGAGGCATCCACCCGCACAGGGGGGGGGGAACCCCTGCGGGGCCCCTCCCGCCTCTCTCTCCCTCTCTCTCTCTCTCTCTCTCTCTCTCTCTCTCCCTCTATCTATGTTTCTGCGTGTGGGCGTCTCTCTCTCGCTCTCTTTATCCCTCTCCATCTCTCTCTCTCTCTCTCTCTCTCTCCCACTTCCTGTTTGTCTCTTTCTCTCTCTCTCTCTCTCTTTCTCCACCCACCCACCCGTTGATCATTCACCCCGCGTTCTTCCTCCCGCCCGTCTTCCACCCTGCGTCTCGTGTGCCACCATCGTCATTCTGGTGTAGGCCACGGAGGAGGCGCGGAGCCCACGGAGTGCTCACAGCTCCGAGCCTGACTCCCGTCCTCGTCCGAGGGCGCGCGAAGGTCGCGATGTCTCTCTTGCCGAGTTGGGGCTCGCAGAAAGGGGCTCTCTCTCTGTACCTTCAATGTATGTATGTATGTATGTGCACGCATACGCAATGCATACAACTTCTAGATACTTAGTTATGTATGTATGTTTGCAAGTGTACATATACATACGCTTATGTATAGATATATACATACATACATCCATACATATATACATACATACATACATACATACATACATACATACATACATACATACATACATACATACATACATACATACATACATACATACATACATACATACATACATACATACATACATACGTATATACATATATACATACATGCATACATACATACATACATACATACATACATACATACATACATACATACATAGATATCGATATACTAGAACCACGCGCGCTTCGGTTCGCAGAAAGGGACTCCCTCAACACGTGCATCTAGCCGGCTCGGTATCCCGAGCGACGAAGAAGGTGCAAGGTCGACGCCCTGGCTCCTCGAAGGCGCTCGTGCGGCCCCCGAGGCGTGCCTTGCCCCTCCTCCCCTGCTCATACGTGTGCCGGCTTGCCTTCGAGATGCCCCCGGCGTTCCTGACAGTGATCAGCGGGACAGACATCTGCGACTCGGTGAAGAGCTACACCTGCAGGCCCGAGCAGTGGCTGAAGAGCACCTCGGAGACCCCGGCGCCAGATCACCAGACCTTCGGCCACCCCCCCTCTGGGGGACATGGAGACGGCGTGGAGGAAGTTCCAGGCAGAGGCCGAGGTGCGCGAGATTCAGACAGAAGGGTGGTAGTTCTCGGCGGTCTCGGAGTCGGAGTCCGAGTCGAGCAGCAGGGGAAGCTATCACAGCGATCATGGCTGGATGTACCCGAGGAGGAGGAGTTGGAGCTCAATCGACTCCTGGCGCCTATTCCCCAGGATCAACCCCGTGCGCTCGAGAAGGTGCGCTCCTTTCTGTTACATGCTCTTCGAAAGAATTCAGGTCTTACCCAAAGGTCAAGTTGGCGAAGAGATCCGTCCGTGGCTTTGGTCGCAACTCCGCGCATAGGTATCTACATCACTCGCATGTTTGACTGAGTTCATCGGCAATCAAGCTGCTGGCACTCGGGCCTCCCGCCAGCATTCTGGAGCACTGTGGGAGCGGCGTTGCTGATGTCTGGGCTGGCGAGGCTACGGTTGGAAATTCGGTCCTGAATTCGTCCTCCTGAGTGGCTTCATGGTGTTCAAGACTGGTCTGAGCCCATCGTGGCTTTGGCTTTTAGCGTATGCTAGGTCGCTCCACGGAGCCCCTCAAGGCCGTCGCCTACATCATGGGATCCCACTCGCCCGTCCATATCGGGAAGGCTGCATTGAGATCGGGTGTACTCTCGGGCGTCTTGGGCCGCATCCAGGAACGCATGCGAGGTTTGATGTTTCCGAGGATACATCCAGGCAATCGGCCTAGGCATCGTGATCTTCGAAAGAGTCCAGGGTCTCTGTTTTTCATCCCGCTCCTTTGGGGTCCCGACCGAGTCCGCGGGCTTCCACTTCGAGGCGTTCGCGATCCGTCGTTTTCGACCAAGTGTGAATCGAGCGGATGAGCAGGAGTCGGAGTTCGTCAGCCAGCGTCGTGGTCTTAGAACCCTCCACTCAGCCCCGAAGAAGAAGCAGAAGACCCGCAGGCGCCCGCCCGCTCGGAGGCGAAGACCCGTAGAAGAATCCCACCTCCGGCATGGCTCTCGGCTAACCCCCGCGACAGCAGTGATCGAGGCAGCCCGTGCACGCGGTGGCCTCGCTCAGTGTCCAGGAGCACGATCTGAATCAGCACCCGATGGTCAGTTGTACACCCTGCGAAATGCTTAAGAAATCATGGGTTAAGAAATTCAAAGTCTCAGAACTTGAATAAAAACCCAACATTTCCATTAAAATCTTAAGATTTACATTGAAACATTAAGAATGATCGAGACTCTGGCCGAAAACTCAAGTTTTCTTAAGCATCGCCTAAGGTGTATATCTCACAGATTCGTGAACACTCTCATCTCACGCAGCAGGGCGGTCCGCTGGGGCCTCGTGGATCCCTCCCGCCTCGGGCTGTTGCTGGCGTGCCTCTCGGGCGAATGGAAATCCCTCCCGTTCTGCAGGTACTCCAGCTTTCGTAATAAAGGGAGGGGGGTCTCATTTCGGGGGGGGGTCTCTTCCAGGCTATCTTGGAGGGCCTGGGGGGTTCTGGGGACGATGTTTCGGAGGGTTCTCCCACGGGGGAGGTCTGAAATGGCTTGTCTTGGAGGGTCCAGACCCCCGCCCTTTTATTACGAAATCTGGAGTACCTTTCCCGTGAGGAGCAAGGAGCGATTTAATTCAAGGCTGCAAATTTCTGTCATCATTTTCTACTGGACTTCACTCGGCAGAGATTGGCTGGATTTCAGATCAATCGCCACCTGCAGACGCTGAACTTATCCGCTGCTCGCCCCCCTGCCATCCGCCTGCCCTACGAGTTTAAGAGGCATGAGTTTCAATATGCGGTCTGAGGCACAATCAATAACATTACGAATTGCATGAAGTTTGCCCATGCCAGGTTGTGGTACCAGCGCCCTGCTCGAGTTACATTACATGCCCGGCGCATTTGGAAAGATAAGGTTTCTGCCAGTCGACTTCGCGCTGAATATAAGTAAGAGTGCCTCCCTCCCCCAGTATCCGAATCCCAGGTTGTGACAGGCCCTCTCCATCTTCATCCTCTCCCAGGCTGCTGGAGTCTGCCTGCATGGCATGCTCCCAGGGTCTCAATTCGTTCCGCACGGACTGCTCTGCTGAGTGGGCACTATCAGCACGATTAGGACCGCGTCAGATTCGTAAAGGTCTCGATTATCTTTCCAGACGTTCCTCCTCGGCATCAGGCTCTCAGCAGGATCCCCGTGGGAACGAACCGTCTCCATGGCAGAACTTGGAAAAGACTGTCCAAGACCCGGTATCCCCAGCGCAAAACAACACCATCATCGCTGATGACAAGAGAGGAGACAAAGTCTGGACGGCCGATGGTCCTGACATGATTCGGTGGCTCCACCAGACAGCGAAACTTGATGATGGTTGGGTTGTTATGTACAATTAATCTAGATATGGTGCAGCGGTATGGTCATGGTCCCGAGATTATCAGTGCTTACCTCCCTGGTTGAGAAAACCTAACGTAAGCCCCCGACCTACCCAGACGACAAGCCCCCCGTACGTCTTCCCGACAGTAACAAGCATGTTGCTCCTGGACGATGGTGCGCGTTGTTGCTCTAAACCTGGCCGTAGTTGCACGCGTAGAACTGTGAATTCAGCGGATGCTCCTCGGACAGAAGGTTACAGATATGTAGGCCGTGCCACGTGCCATCTGCTCCAGACAGGTGACCTTTCCTCTGAGGCCTTTAACATGAACCATGCGGAACGTGAGCTCCGTACGATCGCCGAGTCGCTTGATCCGCCTGCGAACGATGTCTGCCTTATATGCGGCTGTGCAATCTCTAATGTGGCCATTGTGGTGGTTGATGCAGACCAGGCCTGTGGGCAGTGCAGTGCGAACCTCGTTGCGACTGCCTGGCGCGAAGTATCGGCTGCAGTGGTTCACCAACTTGGCGGATGCTGCGCTGGTCAGGCGCGGCAAGAAGGTGAAGACTCGCACTTTCGTCTCTGGCACCCCTCCCACGTACTTCAAGATGTCGATTACTGACGAAATCGGGCGTGCGATGCTTGCCTACTACTGGCTGTCGCTTGTCAGAATTGGAGACATTGTGCACGAGCTTCGTGGCCTTCCAATAGGGGGTGTACTATCTGGCGTTGCACCTTCTCCTAGCATGGTGCGAGATGAAGTCCCTTAAGCAGCCTAGACAATTCAAAACATCAGGGTTTGAAACATCCTCCTCCACTTGCTCAATAGAAGTTCGAGAACGTCGTTTGTAGATAATTTAAAGTGTGAACGAGGTATAGTACAGGAACTATGGAATTGACTATTTTGCTTTGGTGTAGAAGGTGAACCTGTCTCCCGCGTCGGACCTTCAGGACCCTGAGGCTCCGGAATTATGGCACCAGAAGGACTATTGCTGGATCGCCCCTAAGAACGACAATAGGCTCTGGTTGGTAGCTCCAGACCCTGGACCCCTCCCGTAAGACAATTATCTTGTCCTGGCCAGGTACGACACCCCGTGGCTTTGGTATGGTCCGTGCTTTTTTTCAGGACGCCCCGCACGTTCACAACACCTATCCCGCACGATCCACGTGACACTCGCCTGGATCCTGGAGTTGGCCCTAGAGCTTACCATTCTGGGATACCCACCCGGACTTGTCCTGGCAGCCATCCTTATCATCCGTTGTCGACTGTAGTGAGACTGCTCGGAAAGGCACGTCCCAATGGGACACTCCTCACAAGCTCAGCCTGGCTCTTGTTGGAGGCCTGGAAATGGGCATCAACACCAACACGGGGGGGCCTCCAATTTGGTGTTGGCTGCATTAGTTCGGCCACTCAGAGAGCCGGAGTATCACCACCACCACCGAGATCTGGAGATCTTCCCTCGGTGAAGGCACACCGCCGATCCTAGTGTTGGTGTCAACAGGTGGCCACATGCGAACCGTACCCCTGACCCCACACGATTGCTGAGGGGGAGGGCGGGGTTCACGTCGCTCGGGAGCTCCCGGACGAAGTGAACCCCACCCTCCCCTTCAGACATCGGTGGGGGGCAGGGGTCGGGTCTGCACGTGGTCCCCTGGTCGGCCTCCGGGCCTCCGATCTTGGGCTGCAGCGGCTCCCTCCCCGCCGTGCGCAGCGGCGCCCACCTCTCCCCGCGTCTCGCGTCTCGCGGCCCCGGAGGCCCGCGGCCGCGCCGGGCGTTCCACCCGGGGCGGCGGGCACCAGCCGTGGCCCCCCCTCCGGCCCCTCTCTGAGGAACCGCGCGGCCAGAGCCAGGCTACTCCCAGAACCGCGCGGCCAGAACTAGGGGGAGGGGGAGGAAAGGGAGGAGGAGGAGGAGGAGGAGGAGGAGGAGGAGGAGGGGGAGGAGGAGGAGGAGGGGGAGGAGGAGGGGGGGGAGGAGAGGAGGGAGGAGCGAGGAGGAGGAGGAGGAGGAGGAGGAGGAGGAGGAGGAGGAGGAGGAGGAGGGGGAGGAGGTTGCTCCCATCGGACGAAAGGACCACATCCAAGAAATCATCTCGAGCACCCATACAAGTATCGAACCAGTGTCGAGCGAGTATCGCCTCCCAGGGCCCGACGCGCGAAAAAACCCTCTGGTGTCGGTGCTTCCCTGGTGCTCGAAATTATTTCTGGTGGTCAAGGCTAAAATAGGTTGGAACATCATAAGGCTGGAAACGGGTCTCTCAGGATTCGTTGCGCCCAAATGCACCCGCCTCGCATTCAGCTGTCTCCTTCGCACTCGAAGGCCAGTCCTTCGCCGATCATCCACTGGTCCTGTCCTCCCCACCGGGTGAGCCCATCTGTGGAGGTGCAGACCGAGAGGTGGACGCGGGGGGTCCACCGCCAGAACATGTCCATAATACCCTCGGATCTCGCGGGGTCGAGTCCCCCGGGATCTCGAGGGGTGATCTCGAGGGGCGGTGAATGTGGACATCTGCCCGCTCGCCGACGCCGCCCCCATCTCTCGAGGTGCGGTGGCTGCGGCCAGCTTTACGGGAGGTAGTCCAGGGGTCGGGCGAGCTAACGGAGCCAATGAGGTGCACGAAGCGGTGGCGGGGCGCTGGGGCGCCAGGGTCTGTCGCCGCCGCGGTGGGCGCAGGTAGGCAGGAGCGTTGGGAGTCGGTGCTGGCATGGCTGCTGCTCCCGCCGTGGCAGAGGTAGGGAGCAGGCGGCGTCAGCTGGGGTGCTCTGCTTCCGTGGTGGCAGTGGGTGCCGAGGCGTTGTCGAAAGCAGGGATGGGAATTCGGCGCCTGACGTCATACCAGGCTGTACTTGAAGATAATCGGCGCCGTCGCGAGCAGAACTGGTCGGAGGTTGGCGAGAGGCCGCGCTCTTCACGGGCCGCGGCAGCTCGGCGCAGCTTGGCAGGAGGGCTGGAATAAAGAGTCGAGTCGGCAAAGTCTGGATTGGGGGGGTGCTGGTGCGCATGCTTCGTGCTTCTCCCCCTCTTTCTGCTTCTGCTGCTGATCCGCCCCCGCATCACCCTCACGCAAGAGCTGCGATCCTCCTCGACATCTGTACGCTCTAAGTCGCTGCCGTCCTCCTCGCCCAGCTCCTGCTGCTGCTCCGACTGCCCCGTGTCTCCAGCGCACTTGGGCAAACTCCCGACTCAAACAGACAGGAGAAGGGGTGGGAAAGAGAGGGAATGAGGAGGACGAGGACGAAGAGGAAAAGCGATCCAAAACGCCCCCCGTGAACTGCACCAGGGCCACGGTTCCTCACTGCGTAGGGCCCCCCCGCCCCGGCCTTGATCAGCTCGCCAGCGTTCTGGCGGCAGCGGCCGCCGAAGAATGAAGGAGAGGAGCAGAGCGCCAGAAAGAAGAGATCATAGAAGGAAGAGGGAGGGAGAGGCGGGACAAGGGAATAGAGAATGAGGGAGAAAGGAATGAGGAAGCACAGGTGAAAAAGAAGGAGGAAGAGGGAGGAAACTGGGGAGAGTAGAGGGAAGGAGGAGGCAAAAAAAGAGGCGGAAGGGAGGAGGAGGGAGAACGGGGAAGCCATGTAAAAAGGCAATGTGAGTTCTCAAGGGTTTGGATCAGTCTGGTCCGCCAGCTTAGCAGAAGATGCTACAGGCTGCGATGGCAAGTAGGGGAGAACGACAGAGAAGGGATGATGTCCTCAGGATACCATGCGACACCGGGTGGGACCATGCAGCGAGCGGTGTCGAAAGCTGTGTGGAGTCCATGGCTACCCAAAACCCTGAATACCTTGCCTGTCCTTGATTAGGTACACGCTTGTCCCTGAAACGCTGGCACCGAAGATCAACTCAGAGCACCCCTCCCCTGGACGACGAGGAGGATGACTGCAAACACGGTATGGACCGTTATGGATAAGGAGGCGGCGAGGAGGCGGAGGAGGAAGCAGGCGGAGGGGACTGGAGGCAGAGGAGGAGTGGCGGGCGGGGATATTTAAGTTGCAGGAGCAGGCAGAGGATTGACGACGCAGACATCGAATGGCGGATTCCCGCCTCAGACCTCCGCTGCCCAACTGCGCACGCTGGGACACAGAAGGACTGCGAAATCCCACGTGGAAGTCACCACGCCAAGACGGGGCCAAGGAGTCAAGCCGAGCAGGGACTGAGGCTCACCGTCGGGTAATCGGAATAGAGCACGTTCCTTCTCGGCAACCTCCTCCTCCTCCTCCTCCTCCTCCTCCTCCTCCTCCTCCTCCTCCTCCTCATCCTTCTCCTCATCTTGCTCCTCCTCCCTCCTCA